AAACCAGCATTAAAAAGCAATAAAAAGTAAAAACACCACATACACACTCATTTACTTACCTCAAAATATTTGTAGTCCTTAATGTAGGTGAGATTGAGTAGTTATTTTTTGTAAGAAGTCAGAGAGTAGGTAAGGTAACCTCCTGGCCAACCCACACCCACACATAATATGCTATACATTTAAAGAGCCCTAGCAATAAAAATGCATATACAATACACCCCTTTCCCATACTTACCTTAATATACATACGTATTTTCGCATGGCGATTATGCCCAATTTGAGTCCATATTTTCGCCAATTCCACTGTTCCATACCACAAACGACCAACTGGACTATTTCGCTAGAAACTCCTTTTGTTCTAATTGAATGAGTACAAGAAACTTGCACCATATACCAATTTCAATTCTACCCTATAAAGTGATCGTAAATTGGTAATTTGGCCTATTTTCAATACAATAATCCAAGAAGGCCAATTTCCAAATAGATTCAAATTAACAATGCAAACATTCCAGAACGAAATTAACATTTTTCTCTGTCATTAAGTCTTCCCTCCAGGCCCCTCTTATATTTCGTTTGCTTTCCATTATGAATTTTTTCACACAAAAAATAGAAAGATTTATTGTTATGCAAGACACTACATTATTATAAAAATGGTAAAATAATATCATCGCATTTGGGAAAAGCACATTAAACCACCAACTGATTTAGTATTGACATGTGAGTGATTTGGTTTAGCTCTTGAACATCGGTCAAAAATCGAACATATCCACTACTTTCAGCTCATTTCAAGTACTTTTTATTCCGTAGATAGGTTAGACCAGTCAAAATCATCTCTTGTTCTGTAGTATATCTATTCTATCAAATGAGAATACAACCAAAACCAAGAGAAAATATACCACAACATTGCTGTTTTAAAAAACAAAAACACAGTTTTTTTTTTCTCATCACTCAGCTGCAGGATTTTAAACAGCACACATTAACCCACTCAGACCCATTCTCTCATATAGCCTACCAGCTTTCTTGCAAGATTGGAACCTGCTAAAATTTTTGGCGTACTATTACAGGACCAACACTGGCTTGCAAGCCTTAATATTACAGGATGATATGAAAGAGTTAAATACGTATTGTGAAATGGAACATATTTATTTGTAGAAATTCAGGTGTGGGAGGTTATGGTACACCTGCCTGCCCCCCACCTACTTACGACATTTAAAGTGCCCAAGCGTAGAACATATACTGTACAGTACACTCCCATACTACCTTAAAATATTTGTAGTCCTTAATGTAGGGTGAGAAGGTGAGTAAATGAGATAAAAACGATAAACGCGAAGAGAAGAGAACAAGAAAATGAAAGACATCGCAGAGATGTAAACAAACCGTACGAACGCTCTGTTATGGTTCATACATGATCATTCCCTCTCTTGAATCTTATACCTTGCATTGTGTACAAGCTGTCTCCACAACTGGAAAAGTAGAATAAAGAGCAAACTCCCATACACCTGTAACACCCAGTTTTTAGAAGAAATGACGCTCTGAGTGAAGGCATATGCAAGAATAATATCCTACAGTCCCGCCAGTAATACTACTGTGTACACATTTTCTTTGGTGTATGAACAATTCTTTCTTCCAACACTCCGACAAACTGGAAAAAAGATTTCATATTTATGTTAATTTATTCTAACTGTGGGGTGTATTTATCATGTTTATACATATGTTACGTATGTGTTATATTATGTATTTTGAAAAAAATAACATAGACGATTAATGAAAATGTCTTATATTAATGTAAATAACGATATTTTATTGTGCCTCAGAGTGATTATTATTACTCCTCTCCTCATTAAACGAGGATTTCGTTCCTAAACCACGTTGGTAAATGAATTCGTTACTAATGAGGAGCCATGCTAAAATGTAGTTATGGTTTGTGACAACCATCTTGCATAGTTTAATGTCCCCCTTTGTACCATGTAAAACATTTCTGGTATAATATTTAAATGTTATATACAATAGTGTACTGTATATTGTAATAAACAAATAAGGGAATCAATTTTCTAATATCCATTATTTAGGTATGCATACTGGTCAAGAGCCCATCGTAAGTCCCGAGTTCATCGTAAACAAGTACGTTTGCTAGTGAGGAAAGCTGTATTAACCCCTTACAGGTCCTCCTGTAGAATCTACGGCCTACTTGATGTCCATACCGTAATCTAATTGCCAAAATTCTAGCGCCGTATCAAATTTTAAGCGCGAAAGTGCTCCATAGGCCTACAAGTAGAGAATGGATCTGCGTGGGGGTCTGCCATAAACTAAAAAATCTAGCCCCTAGCATAGCATTGTGGGAACCGCTGAGCTCAGTTACCCTTGTTCACTCATGCCGTCGCCGTCGCAAGTCAGCCTCTCACTCCTGAAAAAATGGACTCCCTCTGCCTATCTGCTATTCTGACACTGATGGAAGTGGAAATGAAGATGAATTCTCCGATCTTTGATCAGTTAGTGACCGAAAGGAATGACCAGAATCGATAATAGCAGAAAACCCTGACTCCCTCAACCTTCTACCTCTGTTTAGGGGGGCACTTACATCGTGACTCACGCGTTGTGCCTCAACGCAAGAAATACTAATATTTTCGCGTGCCACCCTGACTTCAGTAATGATGAGATAGTTACGGGATTGTGATTTTATTGCGCTTTGACGATCAATTCGAGTATATAGTGAGGAATCATATCACCAGTGAAGCCTTCGTATGTTCGCCGCCGCATTTGCGCCGGGTATGACCCTATGCTGTCCCGGGGACGGAGTACACCCGTGCCCAACACCAGTTTAATAGTGATAGTGAGGATGATGTGCTACACATTGGCAGGATAGACCACAAGGCATCAGTAATGGTGGAAGTGAGGTGATGGTATGGCATCGCCAATATCGTGACACCACCAGCCCAGGCTGGACCCACACTGCTGACTCGTCAGTTTCAAGGACAAAGCGGAGCAACACCACCAGCCCACCACAACCACAACCACCAAAGATGTCCAGTAACCACCAGCAAACTGTATCTGGGATTGGCAGCAAAATCCCAATTTTGTTCCCAAGCCCCACCAATTCGATGACTCTCAAAGTGGAAATTCTACCCTACTTGTCCCCTTGGAACCACGCCAATAACTGAATTCTTAGAATATCTTTGACCAGCCATTGATGAAACTATTGTCAGGAAAGTAATAAGTATTTTGAGTACACATGGCAAATACAATCATATCATGCCACAGTCAAGACTACACAGGGAAAAGATCTGTTGCAGAAATGTATTTGCTTTTTCCAACAATTAATACTTTAGCCTCATGTCCTATAAGCATAATATAAAAGCATACTGGTCCACAGATCGCTAATTTCTAACCCCGGTCTTCATGAAATCATCACCAGTGAACAGGTTTATCTTACTATTACGTATGTGCACTTCTCTGACAAAACCAGGCCTGACAAAGAGACAGTTATACCATATTAGAAATGTTTTCACGTATCTGCATACAACAACAGTTTCAGCATAATACTTTTATCCCTTCAAGAATCTTGTAATTGACGAGTCTTTGAATTTTTTGTCAAAGGTAGACGTCATTCAACATATATACCGTGCCAAGAGGAATCTTTGTTATAAAACTGTTTTAACTCTGTGACTGTGACAGTGGCCTGTGTTGGATATTGTATTTTGTATACACGGAAGTAAAACATTGAAAGATACCAAGATGTTTAGGTATCTCAGGGAATGTAGTGAAAACCAATGATGGCACCTTATCTTGGTAAGGGCATACATTATATACCGATAACTGGTATACCACAAGCCAATTACTCGGTGATTTCATGCAGTTATCAAGACAATGTGTGTGCACAGTGCGTTCTAATCGTAAACATATGCCAGGCTCCGAATGCAGTGCTCTGAAAGACGTTCAGGGTGTTTACTTGTGCTTTTTTTAAATTGGTTTGAGGATGCTTGGTGTTAGCCAGGGATTATTCAGTCTCTTTGCTGTGATCTGTTTAGTTTTTCTGGGGCAATGTCTGTTATAGAGGCATTGGGCTTTTTTTTAGAAAATTATTTATACATTCATTCATATCTGTGTATGTTTCGAGCTCATTTTGCCAATCGATGTTATTCATAGCTGCTATAAAGTTGTTAACTGCTGTCTTGTTATGTAGTCTGAAGGTTACTTTAGTAATGTCTTATGGGTATACCACAGTTAAAGGGTTAATGAAAAAATTACCCCTCAAGGGAGGTTTCTTGACAATGGTGAGGGGCTCTTGATCTAGGAAATTGGATCTACACTCCGGTTCCCTGAATTGAATCTGAATACCTTCCATCTTCCCCACAGGCGCTGTATAATCCTATGGGTTTAGCACTGCCCCATGATTATAATTATAATAACGAAAAAATTAGTATGTCCCAATAAAGTGTCTTAAATCCAGAACTGTCCATCATTGTTGCAGTCCACTAGGTAAATTGATTTCAAATTTAACTGACAAGTCTGTTCATTCCAGAATTGTTCATTACGATGATATGGAAAATGGCATTTCAGGACATCCTCTCTTTGTTAGCCCGTTAAATTGAGGTTACAGTAAATATATGTAGTAGTCTACCTGCTGAAGCAACAACAGCATTTTATTTAGAAAACTACTCAAGACAGAATGGGAAGATCCTACACAAGCTACAGGCATAGCAACATCACTGCATTTATTACAGTATTATATTTATTGGGAAGCACAAAACCCATGGGGGTCTACAGCACCTGCACTTTTATACTTTAAACATTGAAGAGAAAGTCTCAGTCATGGGCTGTGTAAGTGAAAGCAATAATGGTAGTGAAGAACCCTTGATTTAGCAACTTTCCCTATGAATAAAATAATAATGACCCCTTTAGTGCTTCCCCATGAATATATTAATAATAAAAATGTCTACTTATTTTTATTAAAAATAAACAAAAATTATCTTCCAGAGAAATACAAAGAAGAAAATAACAACCCTTCAGCACCGGTGCAGAGGAAAACACGCTGGATGTACAACTGGTAGGCAGAATGAAGGTCTTGACTTGGGTGCCACAATACTCTGCCATAGATTGTTTGACCTGGTCCATAGCTCCCCTTGTAGTCTATTTCCTGCATAAACAAAAAGAATTAATGCATTTAATGAGTTTAGTAAAATGGCTGGAGGCAGTGGAGATGGCATGTGTGGTGTGAATATTATTCAGAGAATTTGTAGCTTGAAGATTAGGAGGGCTGAAGAAGGGTTATTCAGGTGGTTTGGACAATAAGAGAAGATGGAATAAAATAACCTGGGTGACTTGGAGGGTGTATAAATCTGTAAGAGAGAGAAGGTGGGGTAGGGGTCATCCTAGGAAAGGGTTCAGGGAGGAAGTTTTGAGTGCAAGGGCCTCTTCAAGGGGGGCTCCTTGGCGTGGTGAATAGGCTCTTGGTCTGAGGAATTAGCCCTGTCGGTCTTCTTCCTCAGACCGAACCTAATTACCCCCCATTCTCCCCTTTTTCCATTCCTCCTCCTCCTCCTCACCCCTCCCTTTTGCCCTTCCTCTTTTTGGCCTTTGGGATTTCTCCCGCAGGCGCGCTTTTCCTGGTAGGGGAAAAGGAAGGGGGGGCCTTCCCATTCGTTGGGTTCTTGGCGGTGATAGTTTGCCGTGGAATTGGTTTGTTTGGGGGATGTCCGACCCCTCTCGGTTTATCCCGGAGTGCTTTGGGTGTCTTTGGGGGAGGGGTGTACCCTTGGAAGCCCCCTTTCGGATTCCGGGGTGGGGGGAAAAAGGGGTATGCTTTGTGGCAAAATATCCGGGCCCCCCCTCTCTTTTGTCCACCGGGGAGTGGCGATGTGAGGTTGTTTATCCCGGTTTGGGGTTTACTGGCTGAAGGGTAGGGTAGGCACGGGTTCTGCAATCTGCGCTACTAGCGGTGTTGAGGGTCCTTTTGGGCCCGGGAGGGAGAATTTCCGGCCCTTTCATTCCTCCGGGGAAAAACTTTCCCTCCCCCCCCCCCCTTTTTTTATTCTTTTTTTTTTTTTTTTTTTTTTTCTTCTTTTTTTTTTTTTTTTTAAAAAAAAAAGCAAAGGAGTAACCTAACCATGGCAGCCAGTCCATGAACCACTACCCCCAGGCCCCCCTTTTTGTACCGCACCCCCTTTGCCCTGCTTGTGTTTTTTGCCCCTCTTCGGGCACTTGATGCCCCCGTACCTCTTGCTGGTGCTGTTTCCCCACCGTTCAGGTACGGGGGCTTGACTGACCTTTTATTTTTTCTGAACTCCCGCTCTCCCTTTTACTATGCTTCCGGCTTCCTTCGGTACGGCAATTTTGGAATCGCCCGCCATAAATGCCAAGTCAACCCTGATGATGTCCTTCGTTACCTTCCCATTTTACTTGGAAAAGACCTTCTAGTAAGCACTCCCTCTCCTCGCTCAGTTTCGGACACACAATGGACTAAATTCTTTAACCTTTAAGACCGACTTCTTCTTCTGCCTACCTTTCTGACTTAGTATTGGCAAGTGCTCCTGGTCATGTTGGCCAGAGATATTTTCATTTTCATGCTCTGAAGAGCGGTACGCGCATCGTCACTGTCCGAAATGCTACCCTAAGCTCATGATCTTTCTCTCTTTCAATTATCGATACTACTCCTATATTTAATGAAAATCATCTTTCTCTTAATTCTTGTTGTGGTTACTGTCATTTGCCCCATACCATAGTCCAACAGAATTTCCAGTCATGTGGCTATGACATTTTTTGAACTGATGGAACTCCAGGTATCTCCAATCCTCAAAGTAGACACTTATGTCCCTTCCTGCCGGGGGCGGAGCGTTTTACCCTTGCAATGTGGCTCGTTTCCACTTTTGACAGCCGAGAAACTCCCGTCCGTGTATATGTCGCGGGACATCGGTTACAAGTTCGAAAGTGATTACCTACACCGCAACAATTTAGTAATTGCTGGCGTTTTGGTCACCAAGCGAAAATATTGCTGATTCTATGGCGAATGGCAGTCTGTGGTGCCGACGTCCATTCTAATACATCTTGCAAGTCTACCTCCTCTTGGCCTTAATTGTAATGAAGCTCACCTTCGTACTCCCGCAGTTGCCAGGTTACTTAAATGAACGTTGAAATCCGTTGCCTCAATGAAGCAGATGGTCTCCTTATGCTATGGCAGTTATCATCTCCGCCTCCAAGGGAGACTACCCCGTGTTTCTTATTCACGTGTTTCCAAAAACATCCTCCACTTCTGGGGGTCCCATTTCTGCAGCCTCCTCTTTTGTTTACCCTCCCATAGCCACACGGCATCTAATCCTTTTTGCTGTCCTTGGGCTCTGACAATCCCGACTACAACTCAGGTTGTTCTCACATTTTCGAGTCTCCTTCACAAGCCCAGTATCGACAAACTCGTTACGTCACATAATACCAATCGCCCCTCTACTCAGAAGTCCAAAAAATCCACATTGCTCAAATCTTCTTTGCCTTCCTTCCCTTCTTCCACCTCCAAACTTTACCGTTCCAGTCTCATGTGTACTTAGTTCTTCCCTCCTCTGGCTCTATTACATGTGTGGGATTCACCCTCCTCCTTAGTACTATGCCTTCACCCCCGTCCCTCCCAAGTTTCTCCCTCTTAGTAGTCGCCATCTCCCAGTTTCTGCCTATTTGTCCCCCCCAACACTTATCTCCTGTCCCTTACACTCTTTCGGCCCCTCTTCTTTGGTTCTGTCCATTACTGTCCCAATCTTTACTCCCACCCTCCTCCTTCTATTCATCTTTATGGTCTCCCATTCATCTTTGATTTCAGAAAACTTGAAGCCATTTCAGAAATATATTGCAGAGGACTAAACCTTCAATGGACATGATTCACTTCCTGTTCCTTCTTCTTCCCTCTCTCCATCTTCACAACCCCATTCTTCGCATCGCTCCGTTCACTTCGCTACTTGATCGTCTTCCAATGCCACCACACGTGACTTTTCTAACCCATATATTCCGTTGGTGCCTTTACATACAGATTCCTGGATTTTCTTCATCGCAATCGTGGCCTATTTACAAGTTGGAATATCCGCGGCATCAGGGGTATCGGGGTGAGCTTCAGATGTTGCTTTCCAGGTTTTTCCCCTGTTGGTGCTTGCTTATATGACCAAAATTTCACTCGGCTGTTTTCCAACCTATCTTAGGCTATAATTTATTTGTATTCTTCGGATCCTTTCTCGAGGGACCTTTAATGAAAGTGCCCTTCTTTCGAATGATATTCCCGTATGTAACTATTTGTCCATACCTGCTGCATTACATGCAGCCCGTATCACTTGAATAAGGGGTTTACAATAAGTTCTTTATATCTTCCTTCTGGGGGCATTTTCTATCCAGACTTTGCCTTTCTTGTTTATCCTTACCGCCACCACTTCTGTTCTTGGTGATTTTAACCCCACCATTTCCTCGGGGGGGGGGTCTCTTTGGACTACGTGGCATCCTTGGAGGTTTCTCCCTCTCACCCCCCCCTTTTTTAAATCGGGTACTCCCCCCCTTTTGTCCTCTATCATACTCTCTCTTGCATCATCTATCGTCGCTTTTCCCTCCACTGCACGCTTCCCTGGTCTGTTCTACCAGACTTAAGCAGCGATCTTTTTTCGATCTTCTTATTTCCCCTTCTATTCCCACCTTTCCGTACCCTCGCAGGCAATTTGATGGGGCAAAATTGGGCATTTTACCACACCCACTCCCTTTAGTGGGGTCCTTCTTATCCCCCTTTGATGACCCCTACACATCTTCTCGACGCCAGTTTTTTACGCAGTTCTCATTCTATACCCCAACCTCAGGCAGGCATTCTCAGAAGTGCGTCCCTTTGGTGGTCTCCTGTTTGTGCTCGTGAGTACGTTTTAAAGGCTGCTGGGGGTGTCCGGTACAATGAACCCCTGAAGACTTCTTGATTTTTAAGCAGAAGCGTGCAATCGTGCCCGGGCATCCGTTTAAGCTAAACGCACTTTTGGGAGTGTTTCCACCTTTACCCTTCTTCTTTTGTGAGTGCAGTTGGAAAAAGTGAGAAATTGAGTGGTAAATACTCTCCGCCCCCGGGTCCCGTTCAGGGCGTGGTGTTATGAGAAACCCTCTCGACGTTGACATTTAAACCATGTGTGGGGCCCAAGTGGAAAACGGGCGCCCCTGCTGGAGAGAAACTGCAATAAAGGGGACAGTCATGCCTGCAAAGCAATAGCGAAGTCATCAACATAGAGTGATGCCAAATACTGGGTGGAAGAACAGAGGCCAAATCATTTTTGCAAGGAAAAAAGTGTTGTGCTTAGAACAACCCCCGAGGACACTTCAGTTGGACGAAGTCCGTGGAAAAAACATTTTTGCACGAAAACGGAAATGTTTTCAGTTAAAAAATTCTTAAGGAAGGATGGGAAAATTGCCTGGAGGCCCAAGGGAAAGGGGCCTGGGCCAAAATATTATACCCAATTGGCAAGCCTTTTCAAGGTAAAAATATGGGGAATAACGAGTGATTATTCGCAAAGGCATTACGAACATAGTATCCAAGGTAGTAAGGGGGCTATGGTAGAACGACCCCTTTCAAACCATTTACAAGGGAGAGAGTTGTGTGTTTTTAAATACCACTTAAAAAATCGATTTTTGAGGTTTCCCTCACTTTTCAAACTGCACTGTAAGAGGAGGGCGAAGTGGGAGCATCATGTCCGTGTACCGGTTTGCGGAAAGGGGGAAAAATGGCAGATTTCCCCAGCTGGGGAAGAACTCCTTGTGCCCAAATAAGATTGAAGAGGTGTAAGAGGACTACAAGGGCTGACTGATGTAAATGTTGTAGCATACGAATATGAATGTCGTCGGGCCCAGCTGCCGGTGATCGGCAAGCTGAGAGTGTTGCCTCCAGTTCTTGAAGTGTAAAAGACACATTATACTGTTCTTCTCTGAGAGAAGAAAAGTCCAAGGGTGCTAACTCTCTGGCAGACTTTGAGGAAAGAAATGAGGGGCATAGATGGAGTCCCTGAGAAATACAGACCAGATGATTGCCAATTTCATTGGCAACATCTAGTGGGTTTGCTATATCAACACCGGCAACCCGCAGAACAGGAGCGGGTCAGGAGAATATTTAACACTCAATTTTCGTACATTTTTCCAGACTGC